CGACGGTCGGCCGTCGGGTTGGTTTGCAGAGGCCTTTAGGAAAAGGAAGGCTTTGGTGCCATGCTGTTTTGCTTTCTTGCCCCCACGTTGGTGGCTCTGCTTCGGCAGGCTGCACCGAGGTTCAAGTGGTTACTAACTAACCTCGTTATTTAGTTGGCTTCAAATTAGGTTTAACATAACCTAGAAAATACACAGTAAAACAATATAAACGGGGCAGAGCTTCCAAGTTTGGTCAAGGACAGCCAGTATTGATCCACCCTTAAGCTTGAAATAAGTTACCAGGGTTCTTGTAAGCAGACCATAGTAAAATATACAAACACATTCCTGTTTTTCTCTCATGCTGTGAAAACAGAATCGCTGGTGAAAAAAACAAAATGCAAGTTGTGTTTTTTGGACGACGTTATAAAACATACTGCTTTAGAAAGTCAACAGAGATACAGGGCAGTACTGTCTCTTAGGTGTCCTCCTTCTGTCTGCTCCCTTCTATGCTTTTCTGGAAGTTTAATGCCCTACAGCGCTGCACCAACTACAGCACTTAATTTATCGTAAGTTTGTATGTTTATGTAGTGTTTTATGGCTTTGTTGTAAAGCACTTGGGTAACCCTCTGCGCCTCCGCTCTTCGGCTATTGTAAAGGGCTATACAAATAAACTTGATTTGATTTGATTTTGATTTGATACATACAAGGGGCTAGAGAAACAAAAAGAGGTGTGGTTGGGAGAGCCTGTGTATGTGTGTGTAAGCGAGAGAGACAGTTATTGAGGTGATAGTGAGTTTTGCCAATGTTTCTATGTCTTTCAGTATACCTCAGCCCTCACCTATGATGCTGTCCACGTGATGACAGAGGCATTCCGCTTTCTTCACAAGCAGAGAATAGACATGAGTCGTCGTGGCAACAGTGGGGACTGTCTAGCCAATCCGGCAGTGCCTTGGGCACAGGGGGTGGAGATTGAACGTGCCCTCAAACAGGTAACCTTTATTCAATTAAATAAAAATTTTTGAAGTTATCTCAGGACACTTTTTAAGTAGAGCAGGTCTAGACTGTACTCCTTATAAAATAATATTCGATATTATACCCTCCTTAGTAAGAAGAGAGATAGAATAACCCAGTTCTATTTAAGTGTAGTTACACCTCTTAATTCTTCTAGCTCTTTTTTGATCTTAGCCATTTTAAAAAATAGATCAGAAACCTGCAAAGGACAGTGACTTTAAAGGGGAACTTGGCAACTCTAGCCATTTCTTCGCTGGTTTTCACTTTTGTCATCATATGTTTTCTCAACGAGCTCCCACTACAGCTCTGGGACGTGTATTTCACAACACGTCGTTAAAAAAAACTCACTTGCGGCACCCTCCTCCCCCTTTCTACCGCTGCTGATGTGCCTTTTTTTTGCCGGGCAAACTTCTTTCGTGTGAAGCAATATCTACCGAGGTGGGTAATACATTATAGCACTAACGTATTGAGGGCAGCGTGTGCCGTTTATGTGGAATTGCGTAAAGCCTTTGTGTTCCGCTGTTCTCGGCTCTCGCGATACTGTCCTATAGCCTTTAAAAAAGTAATAATTAAAACCCATTGTGAAGAAAAAAAACACTCTTTGAACCCAGGGTTTTAGCCAACTTAGACTATAAATAAATTAAATTAAAACAACAACACAAATCTACCCTTTATCAAGAGATGCGACTAAAATGGAGATTAAGGACATTTTGAGATACAGCCTTTCTGTTTGTGAAGTCCAAAATCTGAGCAATTACTGATTAGGAAAATTATTGGGGAAAAAGGTGCTATGTATTTAACAAAGTTACGACCTGGAGTATCGAATAAGGTGAATTTTGGAAGGTTAAATTTCAGTATAGTTCACTGAAGCTAGCGAAACCATTTTAGTAATCAGAGGCCCTTAGGCCTGACAACCGATCTCTGCCAAATAAAGAAAAGGTTGTAATCTGTGCTAAGGGAGAGAGATGGTTATTATATGGATGGGCTATATTGGACAATCCCTGATCCAAAAGTATATTACTAAAATTGAGACCAAATTTAAGTGGAAGCACAATTGTAAATTGGGATGAACGAAAGGGCAATTTTATGTAATCAAAGCTAAATGAGGTAAGAGCAGTGATTTCGCTACAACCAAATTAATTCAGGTCTTTGGTCCAGAGAGTCATTTTGTGTAGGTAGCTGCAATAGAAGGTCTTAAGTAGGGAGTGACCTGTCCACCCTACGAGCCTATGCCTTTGTAAAACTCTCTCCTTAAAATCTGGGGTTCTTCTTCATATAAATATGAGATAATGTTATAACACGAAAAAAAGGAATTGGGTAAAAAGATCGGCAAACATTGAAAAAGATACAGAAAGCATGGAAGCACGTTCATTTTAAAGCAATTTATCCTGCCTGCTATAGATATATGCAAATTATTCCACCTTTCCAGATCTAATTTGAGCTTGTCGATTAGGGATAGAAAGTTGCTCTCGTAGAGATCTGATATATTACGGCAGATATGCACACCTAAGTACTTAAAGCTGTTTTTAGATATTTTAAATGGGAGATACACATCAGGGATCTCAAGGGCCAAGTTATTTACAGGAAAGCATTCACTCTTTGAAAAGTTAAATTTATAACCCGGAAATGTTCCAAAGCTATTTAGCAATTCAATTGTCTTAGGGATGGTAGTTATTGGATCAGAAATAAACAATAATAAATCATCCGCATATAAAGAAAGTGTATGTTCCAAACCGCATCTGTGGATTACTTTACTAAAACTGGCCGATTTAAGTGCAATAGATAAAGGTTCGATCGCCACAGCGAACAACAACTGGCTCAAAGGACACCCTTGGTGGGTTCCTCTGCTAAGATGGAATTTCATACCATTAGTGCTTATGGACGCTTTAGGAGAAAACTATAAAAGAGCGATCCAAGATACATACTTCGACCCAATGCAGAACCTCTTTAAGATCTCCAGCAGAAAACTCCACTCCATCCTATCAAAAGCTTTTTCCGCATCCAAGGAGACCACCACTTCTGGTGTTACCCTGGATGCTGGAGAAAAAAGAATGTTGAGGAGGCGGCGAATGTTGGAGAAAGAATGTCTGTTTTTCATAAACCCAGTTTGGTCGAGTGAAATCATGCTCGGCATAATCAATTCCTAAGTCCTAAGGCCAGTGCTTTAGTCAAAATCTCATAATCAGCATTTAAAAGAGAAATGGGACAGTAAGAACTACAATCAGAATCTTCTTTACACGGTTTTAGTAATAAGGTTATTGACGCTTCGGTGAGAGTCTGAGGCAGGGCTCCCCGGTCCAGAGAGTCATTGAACACGTTTAAAAGGAGAGGGATTCATTTATCAGCAATTTAAAAAAAACAACTCTATAGGATAGCCACTTTGCATTAGTTTAATTGAATCTGCAATTTCACAAATTTCTAAAGGTCGATCCACTGCCCTCTTCTGAGCAGAAGATATGGATGGGAATTCCAGGTTATCCAGGAAACTCATGTTTGTTTTGTCAGTTGGGGATTGTGAAGTATATAGTTGAGAGTAAAATGTTTTAAAGGTTTCATTTATGACAGATGGCATTACTGCGAGTGCACCTGAGGGGGTTGAATGCAGCCCGTTTTTTAGCTAGAGCAGCGCTAATGTCTAGATACGCTTTCGGCTCTGAGCCATTGTAATCCAGCTTGTGTTGGCCCATTTGAGGACTTTTTCTTTCTCTTGGAAAGGGAGGAACTTAACGATAAAGGTCCTCGGTTTCCCCGCACCCGCACCTCCTGGTCTGGGGCCAAGGGAGCGGTGAGCTCTCTCTATCTCCGGAGGGCTGCTGAAAACACCAGGGTCCGTCACCGCCATTAGCAGGTCGGAAACAAACTTGGTCGGGTCTTGGTCCTTCTCGTTCCCTTTGGGTATGTTGATAATCCTCAAGTTAGAGCCGATTCTTGAGATCATCCACTCGTTCCAGAGTCACTGTGGCTTGAGACTGTAAGGACTTAACAGCAGCTTCCATCTTGGTGAGTTTCTCGAAGTTTTCACCCGCTAAAACTAAAAACTAAAAGTTTTAGTGAGACGGTTGTTAAATGACGTCACCTGCTGACCTAATGAATCGACCGACTGCTTCAGGGATTCAGTTGACTGTTGTATCAGGATAGCCATGTCAGCTTTGAAGCTATCACGCTGTTTGTTGAATGGAGCCTCAAGGTCAATCTTGGTGACTGGGTCGGAGTGGCTCCCGCTGTCGGCTGCACTGCCCCCTTCAGAGCGTTCAGACCCAGAAAAAAAAGCACTGTTAATTTGGTAGACTTAAAGAGTAAATTAAAAGTGTGGCCAGAACTCCCCACTCGCACGTCTGCACTCTACCTCATCAAACCGGAAGTCAAAACCTGTGCTTTTCTGATGGTAAACGGAGGCAAAAAAATTATTAGGGACCGAGCACTGAC